TACTACAAGTCACCACCTCCACCATCTCCTTCACCCCCACCTCCTTACTACTACAAATCACCGCCACCTCCTTCCCCATCACCACCACCACCTTATTATTATAAGTCACCCCCTCCACCATCTCCTTCCCCACCACCTCCTCATTACTAAAAGTGATTCATCTTTTTCTCTTTTGAAGTTTCCACCCCCTTCTTATTACTATAAATCACCACCATCTTCAAAAGGCTACTAAGCTAATTGAACATTGTTTCTCTTGATTCAGTTTGGAGGCTTGAAGTGCAAGAATAATTATGACATTCCAGTACTCTTGATATTTGTAACTGGTGTTTTTATGAATAATAAGGGTCTAACATTAAGATCCTTAATGAATTCTTTAAATTGAAGTTCTCTTTGTATTATTTCTTATCATGAGTAATGAAGATTCACATTAATGCTTTGATCAAGGTTTATTTATTATTATTGCCAAATTGAAGTGGAACTACAAATTTTGATTAAATTAATGATAAAATGGGGCATGAGATCAATTAATCGATTGATTTATTATTGATTCAGCAAGATCATGCAAAATATAAAATTTACTTTATTACATAGAATAACTAAATGCCAAAAGGTTGAATATAGCAAAAGAAGAAAAGTCCAAATGCTAAGAATAATAAAATTGACACCTCTAGAGAGTAGGGTAGTAGCATGGCTACCAAAGCATTGGTTAATAGTAAGTGTAAATATCTTACTGATTAAATAGTTAGGTTATCGCATCTCCACTTCTTGCTAAATAGTGTACTTGGTTAAAGTACATTTGTCAAATTCTTTCAACTGGCGACTTATCTTAAGTAGTTTCTTTTGATTGTTAACCAATTGCTTAATTTTTATCCAATTGTAAACAATTTTAAGAGTCTATACTCACAACTCTACAAAGCATTGACTTTTGTCAAGCTTCAATTTCAGTCAAAATATATATATACTTGAGAGTTTCAAAATACTCTTCAGAAAGAATAACCCGGAGATTCAAATTAAAGAGTTTCAGATGGTGACTATTGAAGCATCCATGAAAAACTTTTTTTTATGCTTATTGATCTTTAGTGTTTGCATATATATAATTTGAGCCACTTTGAGGAATAAAAAATGTCATATATACTATGTTGTTTAATTGTGATAGCTTACGTAACTATTTAAATTTTATACTGTTTTGAGATGGTAAAGGAAACATAAAGTGATTACTCGTATTTCTCCTTAATTAAGATTCTATTTTATATAATTTTAATGTTCTTAGCATTCAATAAGATGATTTCTATTTTTTTTAAAAATTTCTCTTATATTTTCCTTAACATTTTTCATGAATGAAATAGTCTAAGAAGATTACCAATTTTAAAAATAAGAAATTTAGAAGGAGAAGGATATGTAAAACCAAATTTCAAAAAGAAGGAAAAAGATATTTCATATGAGACAAGGAGTGAAAGAGAGAGAGACATTATGGGTTGCAAAATCCCCAAAAAATTGGAAAAACGAAATTAAGTGTAACAAAACAAAGTTTTATTTAATTGGAGCATATATGAGAAGAAGAAATATCTTGTCTAATTTGTGATATAAATAAAATGAAGAGAATACTAGCATGTGATCCAATTCGTTGAATTACAAAGATTAACCGACTAAAATAAATAATTTCAAATGAACATAAAATGTTATAGCTATTTATTTTATATTATTTTTCTACAAACAAAGTATATAATAGAAGAATTTAAGTATTTGACCATGACCCTTCATAAGCAACAAGGGCTGCTATGCTATCAAAGCCAAAAAAAAACTTAATATATCAAAATCTACAAACTGAAAATTATGATAAAAAAAAAAATCTTCAGCTTGCATGCAGTCACTTTCTATTCCTCCCACCGACAATAGCTCCAGTTAAGGTGTAATTTAAAAAAATCTGTGACAAGTTTCTTGTAATAAAGACAAATTATTCCCAGAGATATAAAGCAAATTGCATGCAAAAATACAGAAAATATTAACAAGTAAGAGTTGATATCGATACATTTGAGGAAAGCTAGCAAGCACTTTGACTTTTGGGGCGATTTTCTTTCACTTTTGTGCTTCTTAATCATCAGTATCATTCCCCTTTTTTCACCGCCGTAGTTGATATTGTAGCTTATTTGAGTTGAATGTGGTTTTGGCATTTAAAAATAAATATTTGCTTTTTTGAGTTTGAATTCGCTTGTGCCCAAACTTGGAAGAGATCTCTACTACGTATTTGGAAACAACCCACCCCACCAACTCACCACCTCATCAACAAACATAAGCAACTACATACATATATGCATATTTGTATGCTTATTTCATAAACTATTTGGTTCGAATAATATTGTTTCATCTAATTTCGATTATCAAATTACGCACAATATCATGAACATGATAAATATTACTTTATGAGTAGTCGGACAGAATGTAAGACATTTTAACATTTTAATTTAATTGGTTTTATAATTATTTTTTAATCTTAATCTAGTAACTTAAATTTCTTTAATGAAAACTCTATACATTAACTTAAAATTTTAAGCATAATTATGGGTTTTGGTTTGAGATAGTTTTTATTGTTACACTGCAAGTACAAACCCAATTCTCATATGAATTAATCAGTAACATGTTTACTTAAAGACTTTTCAAAAGAAAAAAACATGTTTACTTAAAAACTATAGAGATGATTTTGTAAGGCAGTTTTTCAAGTTTTATGCTGTTATGCAGTTGCATTATGGTGTTGTTGTATTTCATGCTGCTGATTTCAGTGTTGTCTTCTTGGTCTTTTCTTCTTCTTTTTTTCAATTTTTTTTATTCATGTTTGTATGTAAACTTCCTTCAAGCAAACCTCTTAGCTCATTGCCTACTATTCTTTTCAGTGATATTAATAAATCCCATTGATTGAGCAAAAAATATATATAGATAATACATAAAACTAAAGTAAAAAATTATCCGAGAAATACTTGAAAGGTTCACTATATCAACTCTACCAAGCAAAAAGAGCTGAGTATAAGGGTTTATCATCCTGTCGTATAGCATCTCAACAGTTGTTTATGATGTAGTGGGAAACCACAAAGTTCAAGTTTGAAAAAAGATAGTAATTAGTACATTTAAGTTGACATGAGCTTTGGAACATGATGTTAAAGTCCTTAATCCAGCCTGGTATGCATATTGAACGAGCATATCTTTGCCACAAATAATTCAAGGAAACACTATAAAAAGGACTATAATTAGCATTATCAAGCAACCGAATAGAGCTAAATTGCTAGGAATGGCAACAGAAGGATAGCAAGGGTTCTGGCCTTATCTGGTTTATGCTTTGGCATTTTGCCTTGTAGCTACCACTATGATAGCCAACTACCTAAAACACCACATCAATTACCCACCATATATGTACCAGTCGCCACCACCAAAGCATGCATGGTTCCCACCATACCACAACTCCCCATCCCTTTCAAAGCATTCTTAGCATCCCCCATACTTTTATAAGTCACCACCCCTTCTAAGATATTCACCTCCTACATATTCTTACAAATCTCCACCCCTTCCATCTCCGTCGTCACCTCCTGCTTATGTCTATAAATCCCTTCCACCTCCATCACCCTCACTGTCGCCTCCATATATTTACAAGTCTCCACCCCCACCATCACCATTGCCATCTCTTTATGTCCATAAATCCCCACCACCAT